ACGGAACGAACATCACCGAATGCTCCAGCTACGTGTACCTAGGTCGGGAAATCAATATGATGAACGATCTAGCTCCAGAGCTGAGCAGGAGGAAACGAGCGGCTTGGGGAGCGTACAAGAACATCGAGGGAGTAGTGAAGAAGACGAAGAACATCCGGCTCCGTGCCCACCTCTTCGATTCCGCTGTCCTTCCTGCCCTAACCTACGCCTCAGAGACTTGGACTCTGCGCAGGCAGGACGAGCATGCGGTCAGCGTTATCCAACGCGCTGTCGAGAGGACGATGCTAGGAGTAACCCTATACACGCAAGTGCAGAGGGGAATCCGGAGTTCGGAACTACGCCAACGATCGAAGATCAGGGACGCTGCCGTTTTCGCCAAGGAATCGATACTTCAGTACATCAAGATTCTTCGTGAGCTCTACAGCAACTTTACGACCAGAATCTCACCATTCTACAAGGAGGTCATCATCGACGTCAAGAGAGGGGTTCCGACAGGGCGACACCATCTCGCCCAAACTCTTCAGCGCCGCTCTCGAGAACGTCATGCGTCAACTGGAATGGGAAGACATGGGAGTGAAGGTCGACGGCCGGCAACTACACCACCTTCGTTTTGCTGACGACATCGTTCTTATAACGCCGAACATCGAGCAAGCAGAGCGAATGCTGGCTGATTTCGACTGCGCCTGTGGTAAGGTCGGTCTACAGCTGAACCTAACGAAGACGATGTTTATGAGAAAACGGATTGGTTTCTGATGCCCCATTCACGCTCAACGGAACGAACATCACCGAATGCTCCAGCTACGTGTACCTAGGTCGGGAAATCAATATGATGAACGATCTAGCTCCAGAGCTGAGCAGGAGGAAACGAGCGGCTTGGGGAGCGTACAAGAACATCGAGGGAGTAGTGAAGAAGACGAAGAACATCCGGCTCCGTGCCCACCTCTTCGATTCCGCTGTCCTTCCTGCCCTAACCTACGCCTCAGAGACTTGGACTCTGCGCAGGCAGGACGAGCATGCGGTCAGCGTTATCCAACGCGCTGTCGAGAGGACGATGCTAGGAGTAACCCTATACACGCAAGTGCAGAGGGGAATCCGGAGTTCCGAACTACGCCAACGATCGAAGATCAGGGACGCTGCCGTTTTCGCCAAGGAATCGAAGATAAGGTGGGCCGGACACGTCATGCGATTTTGCGATGACCGTTGGACCAGAGCGGTTACCGACTGGATCCCTCGGGACGTCAAACGAACACCTGGACGACCGCCGGCCCGATGGTCAGACTTCTTCACGAAAGCTCTGAACGAAAGGAATGAAGGACTTCGTGTCCCTCGAGCGAGGAGGATCCACTGGACCACTCTAGCACGGGACGAATGGAGACGTTGCTGGCGCCCGCTCGAGCAATTCGACGATCAACGGAACGGCAGGTGACAGGTGATTTCTTGACTGGAGTCACTTCTGATGTCTGATCTGCACTCGATTTTCGTGTTGCCAAATAGAGTACCTCTTCCACGAGTTTGACCGGCCAGCTCTTATCTTGAGTCTTTCGCTTGGTCACAAGTTATGCAATTTCGGCTCGAAGCCGGCGTGATCGCTTCCTTCAGCAAATATAGCACAGTACCTATTATCAGCAATTTGACCATCACTATCAGTTACATGAAGCCAATGATTCGCCGGAGAATATTTGCCATGCCAGAAGTTCGTCGCTCTCAAGCAGAAGAGCCAGTGAAGTCACATTTAAGTTCTTACTCGAATCAAATTTTATGCAAGCAATATGATGCTTATCAAATAGCGGTCGGTCTGTGAAAGGAGCTTGATCACCACTGCATGGTGAATGTGGTAATACTTCAAACCTATTTTCGAGATTTAGGTTTGCTTCATTTTCGAACACATAGTCTAGGTTCGTGAAAAACTTCATTGCATTTTGGATGTATTACTAGGGGTTTCCTAAGAGTTTCGGGTGTTGATTCCAGGGTACTTGCTATGCTTGCTAGTCACAAGGCCGGAGCTAGGAAGAAATCCCCGTATATAGGCCAAATACATGAACGCCTAACCGCATGATGTGATATCACCTTCTGATCGATTCAACCTTTAGTACTTCAGCGAGTTGATTAGAATGGAACAACCACTTCTCATATGCAGTAGCGACGTTATTCAGTCACTGCGAGGGGGTGATTTAAATGGAAGATGTTGAGCAATTCAGTTTTGCACTCTTGTAATTGGATTTCAGTTCACAAGTATTTCTTTATTCGAGCTAAACAAAGTTCCAGTGACAGACCACACAGCAGGGTGAAAATCGTGTCGAGGACGTAGTCTCCTAGACGATCACCCCCCTCACATCGGACTTAGATACGACCCCTCTGACCTTGATGTGAATAAGCGAGTTCCATTAATGTACAGCAAAGCATTCAGTTGCAGCGCGGTTTGTCCGTGGGTCAGATTTGCCGAAACCCCGCTCGAAACCGTCGAAATCTACACTCTCGATGAAAAGGTTCCATTCCCCATTTCACAACCTTTGGAGCAGTATGTGGTAGGGTTAGATAGAGCTGGATTTGCTACTACCAGGCAATATTGAAATTGATCTAAAATCTTTACATTCGAAGAGATAGGGTCTCTCAAATTTTGTCGAGGGAGCGTCGAGGATTTTGAGTTTTTCGTGCGAGTTTTTGCTACTTAAAAGCTACTTACTTTTTGCTACCTACTTCATTGTCTAGTTGAGGAGATATTTGCGTCGAGGATCTATCGAGGATGATTCTCGGCCGCTCAAAAAGCCGCTCCCTTCTTCACCATTGCAAGTGTAATTCGTTGGCAACGCTCGAAATGTGTCTAGAATACATTCTTCCAACATAAGCAATAAGAAAAGGGCAATCGTCACCATCCGATTTTGTCTGGGTATAGGCCATGCACTCGAAGTTGCAGAATCGATTGGAAGGTGTTATATGATCATGACCAGTTGACAAAAGCTGCATTGTAGTAAACACATTTCGTAACTCCTATAACCTAAAACAACTTCATTTGCCCAGGGCTTTTCCTTCACGGTTGTCGTTTTTGCGACAGGGTCCCTAACAACAGTGTCATTCTCAGCGAGGTATTAAGGGAGAAGGGAGCGAGCGATAGAGGAATGCCTTTGCAGCGCGTGTGCACATGTGACCCTGTTCCTTGCAAAGATGCACTTTCATTCTTTGTATACTTTCAAATACTTCCTTCTCAAGGTAGACGGAGCGACTGAACCTGCAAAGGATATTTATATCATTTTTTCCTCATATCCTTGTTTTCTGCTGCGCTACACCCTCTTCCTCCTATCTGCACCACGATGCCACTGACGTTACTGACCCCCACGAGTACGACCCCCATGACCCACCTTGACAAGTACGACCCCCTTTCGAGGAGTTCCTCGACCGATATACACACTGCCACTGAGTACCCGAAACGAATGAGTGTGGGTCACATAGCGCCACAGCTCGCGATTGCTGGCCTCAGTAGGAGAGCACAACATATATACAATGGACACTGGCTGCCTACCTGGACATGGACCAGGACTTTCCTATGGGCTGTGGTCTACGATGCAAAACTCATCGACGGCACACCAAGATTATGGTTTATGAAAGTAATTTTTCACGTTCATAAACATTACCAAAGCATTGCATCCGTTACCAGTAACAGACTTATATGAAGACCAGTTTAGCTCCGCCCGCTACCGCGCGCATTGATAGAACTGACAATCGATGAAGCTTTAGGTTTCACCGCTAAATTATAGCTGCTTCGTTAAATGTATTACTGTCCGTTGCATAGGCTGCCCATCTTGGCTGTATCTCACTGTTTGATAAGCGCAGTGAAGTGCACAGCTAAAGTGATGATGTAAACAACCACTATGCGTCGAGTATCGAGGTAATTTAGCGGTCGAATATCTCAAAACGGAATGCCCAGTATTCATTATCATATTTATTCGAGCATCCCATTCATCCTCAAGAACTCTAGAAGGTGTAGCGGTCGAAAGGTGTTTGAGTTTACAATTACAACGCTGATGAAATGATATTGAAATGAAAGGCATTATCTGCAATCTATTTTCTATTTCAAGTGCTCTCTACGTTCGTACGCATATCGTTACTATCAGTCCTCTCGTTATCACTTTTGACCCCCACCAAATATGTTCCCGTCCCACCCCCTATATCATGTCCCAAAATCAGCTCCTGACGACTGCTGCGAAGCGCACTATGAATTTCGTGAAATTTGTGTTTCAGCGCCTCTTATCTGCTCTTATCAGTCGTTATCACTTTGTGACCCCCACCAAATATGTTCCCGTCCCACCCCCTATATCATATCAAAAAATCAGCTCCTGACGACTGCTGCGACGCGTGCTATGAATTTCGTGACACACACAAACAGACAGACATAGCGTTTTATATATGTAGTAGGGATAATGACGGTGTTTAAAATTAACAAAAAAATGCGATGTTGACGCATAAATGCAAAGCGGATTGTCGTCAAAGTATTCAAGCAATTGATCGTGCTGAATCTGATCCCATACATAGGAAGAATTATGTCTGGAGGTGGTGCTGTTGCATCCTTACATACATGTATTTCACCAGAATGATGCGACGCTTTCAAGGCAAGTGCTGCATTGTACTGTCCACCGTATAGAGCATCCAGCTTGTATATATAAAATAGTTTACAGCATCTAGACAGCCCGACAGTGAGATGGACCCGAATGCGTTCCAAGGTATTAAATCTTAAAAACGTCCTCTATGCTAGACGCTAGAGCGAAATAAAACTGTGTGCAGCTGTTCCATTCCGGAAGTCAAGTCAATACCAACTATCTAGCGAGCTATGGCGACTACAGCAGAGCTCTACACCTTGAGTGACGGACATTAATCAAAATCGAAACAAAAAGTAATGACAACTCAACAAACTGTGCGCTCAACAAACAACAATAAACAATATAGTCGTCTTTCGAGCATTCCGCTTTGGGAGCTCGAGAACGAAAACACTCGATTATGCATCTTTTTTAATTTTCCAACATGCTTCCACCAACCGTAGGCTCTCCGTCTTCTTTAATCAAATTGAACCGTTTTCTCAGCCTTTTGTACATTTCAGCATCGACATTGCAACTTTCTGATGGCTCCATTGTAACAGACTTATGGCGTGCCACTTTAGCTCGAAACAGTGCCCATTTGCTCTGCAAATTTGAATTTCACTTGCAGTGTCTGAAGTGGGAGAGTTTCATTTCAATCCTCCTTTTGAGAATACAACACTATCTGTATTCGATAGAATTTGGCACCAAAGGACATGTCGATGCGTCACTTATGATTACAACGCCTATATCCCGCTACTACCTTATAAGTACATGTCTCTGGTGTCATATCCTGACGGCCAATCACGCGGTCATCGTTCTCATCAAGAGCGGACTGGATTTACGTTAATAAAACACACTTTGTCTGTGTCTATCTCAATATGTAAGATGTCCCGGGAAAGTGGTTTCATGTGTGTGTAGCGCAAAGAGGTAATAAATGTAGTGCTCTAACCGAATAGGAGCTTACGGTGAACGTGAACCTTTCAATTACAGATCAGACTGGTCCCCCGGCAGTTTCCGGGGGTCCAATCTAGTCTGTACCTTGCGATGGACAAGCGATGGAGCGATCGCGACCGCTCTGTCACGACAGTCTAATCGCTAAGCGCAATCGCCGAGTCTTACGGACATCCTAGCTCGCGGGACTTGGCTACAATCCATATCTCAAATTCATTAGGCGTGTCTACAGATTTAACGTGGCGCCCACCTCACTCGATAGAAGACGCGGGATAAGCTGCTTTTAGTAAGCTTTGTCGATATCCAGCGGATTGCAGCTTATCCACACGATTTCTCTCAGTGAGGCAACAGCCACGTGCGATCCATAGACACGCCTAATCAGACCGCGAAATCTGGATTGCATGGATGTTTTCCAATGGTATGATTGTGCCATAAACACCCACTGAGCACATTCTGAGTCATTGCACATAGCGCACTGGCAGCTGTAGGGTGTGAAGGGTAGAAGGGAAGATGAGGAGCAGAAGAGGTAAACCAACCAACAGGAGCTGAGGTCCATTTAGGGGTCGGTCAAATGCCAATCAATGATGGTGCCCTCTACTGCATAAAATACCTGTTTTCCACAGGAATTTCTGGTACGAGGTGAGTGGCGCAAGTGGAAAAGTGCACATTGGAAGGTGTGTAGCTTATGCCGAGAGGAATGATACCGGCAGCTACCAGGCGACTAGTCTGGTTTCGGAATACAGATGCTTGAGGCATTGCTTGCCATGGAGGAATTTGCTATAGAGCAAGCGCTGAGCATCTACACATCACAGCTAAGCCGTGTTCCAGCTTCAAAACCAGGCTGCAACCTCTGTTCAGTCTTTTATCATTATTACAATGTCCAGCCAATAAAACAAACAGCAACGAAAAACAAAAAATAAGGAGAATGATGAATCCGAATGAATAATGGCATACAAATCTCTAAAAACTCACACTGGCTATAACTCTCTTGTATCCCTCGAACGTCTGGAAATCGGAACGGGATGCCATGTACCCATTGGGGAATACCTGAAATTTTTTTTCATTTTCATGGTGCTACAGCTGATGTGTTTTTACAAAGCGATGTGAACCTCTAACACATGGCCACTAACATACACTTGTTGGAGGTCAGGTGGAAGCTCCGACAGCGTATCTCCTAGAGTGTGTGCTTGTCGTTGCGCGCTTTTTACTAATCTACGACTAAAGCTCGCCCGTTAGAAGTGAAAGAAAAGGCTCTGGAAACACAAGTGGTGAAGAAACACCAAGAGAAGCGGCTTAGAAGCAAATAAAACCCTTTCGTGGCTGCGAATTTGTCCACTGCACGCTTTGGTAGCTGGCTCGTCCAAGGGTAACATGCCAAGTTTCATCATCCTTTATTGGAACGCCTTACTTATGGTTACAACAAAAAGATACGTCCGTGTGAAATATAATGCCCTCGCAAAATAAAGAGTAATGGCGATACGAGCAGCGGCACACGTTCTGTTATTACACAAAAGGAATGGTCAATTGTCAGTCCGGCCATTTGTAATGAGGTGTAGTCCGATGCACGCGTCTTGCGACGCTGAGCTCAAATCCGTTTTCGGTTTTTGCCGAACGATTCTCTGAACGAAGTTACGAGGGATTCTTCTCACTGTGGCGCCCTCTACATCCCCCTATCCCACTTGGCTCGCGTAAAAACAGAACCAACGAACAGAATGATAACAAAGTAACCAGTCATAGAGCTTTCTAGGCTCGCATGTTTGGCCCTAAAAAACGCAAAGTTTTGCTACGGACAAGGTTCGAACATATAATTTCATTCCTTTGATGCAAAAGCGCTATCCACTATACCACCAGACTCACTACATATGCTATGCGGCTCTTCTTATGCGAACCGAGTGGGACAGGGGCTGTAGAGGACGCCACAGTGAAATAGTCACGAAAACATTATATCGTAACTTCGTTCAGAGAATCGTTCGGCAAATAATGAAACATGGATTTGAGCTCACCGTTGCAAGGAGGCGTGCAAATACTTCCCTTTAGCTGACCTTTATCCAGTTCGTTTCATCTCCATGACTTCCTGAAGCCGAGTTATAATGATTTGTGGATAACTCCGCCCTCTCCGGCTTATGCCCGTCCACCTCTTGCTGACCTCCAATTTGTTGAAGATTACTATCTACTTTTAGATCTGTCTCTAGAGCTTCTTGGTTCCAATCTATAACGTTTCGTGAATGAACCGCCCACATTGATTTATACCTCGCACAGGATTTCATCTAGCCTCCTCTCCTTCTCTGACCACTACTATGCGCTCTCCAAGACTTCAAGGTATCTAATTATGAGGAATTGTTGGAAACGCTGTGCACATCAGGAGACGCTCCACCCACTCCGCGCGAGTCACCTGTGCTGAAAGTACCATGAACATTGCTTCCTACGTCATTTTTTCTGGTCTGTAGGCTTTCTCCAAGCCGAGTTATGTGATGCACTAAGCAACACTTTTTAGAGAACGCCCCGCCCACCTGAAGGTGGGTCTCCTAATTCGATCTAATATACCAATGCACACCTTTACCCACTTTTCCCCCTGTCTCAAAGCTGTATCATAGATCATCACAATCGTAATCCTTACCGTTGGTAGCGCTCTTTTGATTCACGCCACGTCCACCGTGAGCGGGTTTCCGCTTAACCCTTAGAATACGGCTTTTTAGACCTGACCTAGCGATGTGTTTTATGTTGTAAACATCGCTCCTTACAACAACCAATCACCTGTTTTGTTGACGTACGCTGGATTTGACCTAGTATTTTGGTTTTGAAGCTATGCATGCGGTAGCGGCCTCTTTACCACAAGAAGTCAAATGAGTATTTACGAGATGTAAATTGGCAACTCAATTAACAATTACGAACACAAATCCCATATCTCATTCGTGGAACAAAGCCAATGTCCGGTAAGCGACCACACTTGGAATAGAATTGCAAGCCGCACTCTGTAGAAGCGCTGCGGGTCTAACCGGGTGCTTCTGCTCTAATGAGTTTTCACTGTCTTCTACTGTTTCAAAAGCTGTGTCATAATAAGTGTCTCCTAACTTTACCTTCCCACCATCAAATCTGTCAGAATTTCTCAAACTCTTTTTTTCACTGTCGTGGAACGCCGTCTAGCCCCTGAGTGCTTGATTGATGAAACGCCCTATCATTCATCGTTCGTTGGCGTGTACCTTACAAATGTAGGGGGACAACAAAAAATTACTAGCACAATCGTGTGACCCCCTTTTGACGGTGCGTACCTGACCAATGACGTGTAGTACAATACGTCTTATTAAATTATCGAGAGTAACTCGCTTTACCTGCTAAAATCTGTTTTCAAAGTAAAAACTACACTACTTCTATATGTGCACAATTCCGCCATCAAGCGGTCACTGAATGAGCACCAAACTTGTGGTAGTGCCTTTTACTATGGAAGTGGTGCACATCTCACTAGAAGTAGCCAAAGGGTCAGCTGATGTATGTTTTGTACTGCTCGAGACACGATCTTTCAAGATGGATCTCCAGGATCAATGGAATTTCGTGACAGACATACAGAACGAGACGACACAGCCATTCGCAGCGCTTTATAGTAAGTAGGACGATATTGAGGCGGCTGTTATCTATATCATACCTTTGTGTTTTTATAAAGTACTATAGACAAAAGCACAAAAGTACTTTCAAAGCTATAGATCAACTTAGTAGTTTACATGAAATAATCTATTATATACTGTTCATTCAACACAGCATAACGTACAACCGCGACAGAAATGAAATTGGTGCAATGGCAAGAAGTCCGAATACCACTCTCATGAGGGTTGGATCAAATTTTGAAATGCTTCAGCTCTTCAACTTCTCAGTGGATGTAGACTAATGCCATACCTTTCAGGAGCAAATCACATGAAGTAGCACAGGCTCCACAGAGTAGAAGTCAGAGTAGAAGCCAGTGTCGTATGCGATGCTGCTGTTGACAGCAGTGTGACATTCCAATTCTTCTCTATTTTGCAAAACTAGGCACATCTTGCGACACTTTTTAGCAGTTTTTTTCCGTTTACACTTATTGCTAGTAGGAAACATATAAAACATATTGAACAATCAAATCATCTTCACCCCCATGGGTTTGAACTGCTCCATAATACCTCACCCAGAATCCATTTCAAGTTATTAATCTATTAACTCTTTCCTATTGAGCCTAACTTCTGAAACATTCTTGTACAGCCAGTCTTAGTTGCTTGCTTGTAATATATGAATGAAGTCGTCGACACGTCACCTATTCAACCCCAAATACTGTGAGAAATAATGAGAAATACAAGGAGAATTATTAGTGCTTCTTCTGAAGAATCCAACACTTTTTTGACAAGGAAAGGACGGAGTTATGGTCAAACCTTTTAAATAACAAATCAAATTATGAATACTTCTAAACACCAATTCAAAAATTCGTACTTCACAGACACTAGCGAAGCTTCTGAAATCCGGCTCAAATTGCGATCCTTCCACTGCGAAGACATTATCGAAGACAACGAAGGGTCTCTCGCTCCCTTGGCTGTCCTTGGATTTTACCAAAGGAAATCCAATTTCTTCTGCAGACTCTACCAAGTTTTCTAGTCCTGCGAAATGTACCATTGACCAAGACGGGAAATATGGAACAGTTACAACAGAGTTCACCTTTATCATAGTACACAGCTGCACGAGAGCAGAGAAAAGGGAGCTGTTCTTCAGAATTTGTACGTATGAGATCTCCTTTTCTAGGCTTGCCTGTGGGCATGGATCGTAGCTGCAACTTTACCGCACTCCTTTTCACTTGTGTTGAGTCGCTGGATCCTGAAAGTATTTGTACTAATGCAATGTGAATGCATTCCATTTGTCCTTCCTGCCCGTTTCACACTTTTCAAGCGCTATTGGGATGCGTAGATCTACTCCTTCCGGTCGCCATTTACGAAACGCCACTATGGTCTCCCACCCAACCCCCTTTTCCGGTTACAATGGCAGCTTGTTCGGATGAGTATTTGACAGCAATAAATCGTAAAGAATGATAGGTGTACACGGTACTCAATAATCGAACTGCTGGGATGGTTTGCCAGACGAGAATAAGGTTCTGTACGTGAGTTTCCCAGAAAATCTTTCTTCAGTCAACAACATTTTTCCTGAGTGAATAACGACACTAATGTTATGAAATTATACCAGGAGGATTGTTAGACCCGACTCCCTTCACATTTATTGTAATGGAAGAAACGGGAAAATCCCAAGGGCTCGGAAAATAATTTGTGACCTCGCACTCGCGCTCACGTCAGGAGGCTAGCCAACCCTTCTGCTTGCTACAGTTACTGGCTCGAGCTTTTCTAGAATTCCTTTCTGTGCTCGTTTTTTCGGAGGTCCCATAGGATTTTTTAAATGAGTCACGCTACACAAATTCATTTTGAAAATGGGGCAAGTCCCTTTTCCAACAGTGCATCGGTGGTACACTCTACTCGAAATGGCTCAGATAATTTCAGTAGGATTCGCAAACATGTCACACACGGGCTCTTCTGCTCTATTCGCTCAACTGTTTTGTTTTTGTATTTGTTTTGAACTATGTCCAGTTTTAAGCCCGCTGTAAGGCGTCCTGTCTACGAAAAGACCAACATTACTTTAAAAAAATTATCCCCGGGAGATGAGAAAATCAACCAGGCGTACATTCCTAACTTAGTCATGACTTGTTCTTAAATTCCACTAGTTTTTCAATGTCTCGGCATAAAAAAATTTCGACCGATTCAGGTAATGGTGCTTGACCGCCGAGTTCTGGATAGAAAAAGCAAATCTAGAAAAAAGCAAAGCAAAGCGACTTGACGAAAACCTAATAGCGTAGAGTTTATGAGAGGCCGTGGCTAAGGAAAGAGTTCATCATTAACACGTTGACGACATCGCGTGTTTTGGCATTTTGCACCGCGTGGGACAGGAGCGATTTTGCGAGCGCGCCGTCCTCACCTTACTTCCGCTTATTTTTTGTTTAAAATGCACAACAACTTGAATCTCATAGAATTATTTCGGCAAGGATGAAAGCATAAAGGTTAACTATATAAATGGCAGTAGATTTTTGTTTAGAAGAACGCATAATGACCACGAAGAAGCAAAAAACATCACTTTCGCTGCGAATGAAGTTAAAAGCATTTATACCTAAGTTCTTCCATCAAATACAAATATCTTGAAACTCACAGAGTTTTGTATTAACTGCTTCTACAATCTTTCATATGAATGTTTACGACAGTGAAAGGAATACTAGGAAAGAATTGAAATGAAAGTTTTGTGCGTTCAGAAAATCTTTGCTAAATCAAGGGATATTTGACCACTCTGGCTGCCATGTGGTTTATAGTTATGTTGATGTATTATCTATAGAATCAATGCAAGCGCTATAAAAAAGAATGACAGTTTTGACGCGCAGCCTGCTGTCAAAATGTTAACTGATCCCCCTAGGGAAAGTAGAGGTAGGCGTAGTTGTCGGTTTGGCTACTTTTCGTCGGCCGGACCTCCCATTTCGCAGGCCTAAAATTGAAAACCCTGGAATGAATGTGGAAGGAACATAGCATTTTGTAGAGCAGACAATTCTCTTTCGAATGGTGTATGGCGTAGTGAAATACCTGGAAATTTAAAGAAAATTTCCTGTTTGAAAAAAGCGATACTACTTATGGGACAACTTAATATGCATATAATGCGCTGTCTGTTTGACTCAAAATTGTCTACTTTCTGAAGAATCGTTCAGAGACCGCTTAGTGTGGCTTGGATGTACCATAATCGAGAAGTGCAAAACATGCAGCTAAGTTGGGCCCGCTCAATGTGGGCGTGCGGCGCATCGTAATGAGCGGTACTGGCGATCAACGTTTTAAATTCAATCACAAAACAGCCTCGAGACTGGGGAAAAAGTGGGTAAAGGTGTGATTGGTAAGCCAGAACGAATAGGGAGACCCACCCTCGGTGGCGGGGCGTTCTCTAAAAAAGCAGTGCTTAGTGAAAAAATTCATAACTCGGTTACTAGAAAGCCTACAGATCAGGAACAAATTTGTTGTAGAAAATCAGTGTCTGAGGCATTTCCAGCATACATGGCGTGAGCGGAGGCCATTGGGTGGAGCATACCCTGAAGTGGAAAGCTTTTCCTAAAGTCTCCATAATTCGGTACCGAGAAGTGTTAGAAAGCAGAAAAAAAAGTTAGGTAGAGGTCAAAGAAGGAGGGGAGGTCAAATGTCAATGACGTGTGTGGCGTGCACGAAAGTGGACGAGGTTTGCTGCTAAACTCATAGATGGGTTTCAAGTCATGGAGACCGGGGAAAAAGTGAATAGAGATTGGCAAAGAAAGTAAATCAACGCTAAAGGGGAGGGAGGGGGGTGGCGGCGGATCATGCACTGAAAGACGAACTTTGTCTTTAGGGTTATAGCTCGATCCCAGAAAATGCTCGAGACGCAGAAAAAAAATTGAGAGAGATGGAGGAAGGTAAGAAGCCATCTGCTATATTTGGGTCAGATATGCACCGAATCCACGGATCTCTTTCACTGAGGGTCCTCTCTCACTGAAAGATCTCGAGCCGGTTGGTGGCGAGGCTACGTGGCGCGACCCCAGGTGGCGGATAGGGGGTAAATCGCGGACCAAAAGCCACCATGTACTTGCCCTGAGACGCAGGTGGATTCAGGGGATGGTCTCTGTTGTGCTGTGTGATCATTTATTCATATTTTAGTATACATATATATTATATATTACATATATTATATTTTATATACACTTATATTATATTATATTTCTTGATTCATACCAGCTTCTCCACTACAGGCGTATCCATGCATGCTTGCGTGTGTGGTGCGCTCTGTGTGTGTGCGGTTGGTATCCTGCATGTCGGCACAGCCAAAAGCTTGCATTCAAGTGACTGGGAAGTACATGGGAGGCGATTCGGGGCCGCCTCCAAGAAATAAGCCCCTTGTTCCGCTCCAGGATAGCGTGGCTAACTACCTGGAGGTCTATCCTAGCCCGCACGACAGAGCCTGGCAAGCTACTCGTGTGCCTTCAATATGCCGAAAACAGCAATATGGATGGGCCTCATTCCCCTGAACCTGAGGGAGCCCCCAATACGGCAGCGTTGGGTAGGACCGCTCGGGAGAGGCTGCTAGAATCTCAGGGCCCGGATAGGCTGCCTAAACGAAGAAGGACTAAGATGGCGATCTGTACTTTCAACGCAAGGACGCTTGCATCCGAGACCGAGACTCAAGTGTGCTTTCTAATATTCGTTCAGTTGCTAAAAAAAGAGTTCTTTAGTTCTTATTCTGTTTCATTCAAACTCCACGGACCACTTTCACTGAGGGTCCTTTCTCACTGAAAGATCGCGAGCCGGTTGGTGGCGAGGCTACGTTGCACGACTCCAGGTCAGGGTCAACCGTCACGTTCGAACATTTTCGGGATTTTTGCGACCCCCTAGCTCTCGAGGGGGTCCAGTTGCGACCCCCTGTTTTTGTTAATAAGAGTGCTAGACATGAATCCGTTGCGCCAGAAAGCGTCTGCGTTGCGGCGTCAGCCTTGGAGCGCGGCAGGTATCACCCGGGCGCTGGAAGAACGGGACGCGGCGAAGAAAAAATTTTAGAGGGGAATAACTTTCTTGGGACGTACTTTTTTGACTTGTTGAGGTAGATTTTGACTGTGCCTGAGGTGCGCTTTCAGAAAACTACAAGGATTGCCTAACTCTCCGGAAAGTACTTCTGTTAGAAGTGGAAAACCCAAAATTCTAAGAAGGCGCACCTTCAACTTTGAAGGCCCATAAAATCTTTCGTATGCGACATTTTGGAAATCTGTAAAAAGTTTCAGAAACTTCAAATATTTCTCTAACAAAACAGTATAAAAAGTTTAGTGATTGTCCCCTTTTTCAAAAAATTGTCCCGTTCGAACATTTTTCGTGCAAAAGCGAGTTTTTGGGCTTTCAGCGACCATAACTCACTTCATTTTCATTTCTGTGATGCACTTTTTTCATGGGGTGAAAGTACAGGATTTGCTCTTTCTAACAAGCACCAAACCGTTTTTCAAAATTCATTTTCCGAGAAAATCACACGTTCGAACATTTTGTTCCCATAGGTTTTTGAGCAGCACATGCGAGTTTTTGAGCTTTCAGCAATAATAACTTCCTTCAAAGAACTTGTTGGGGAGGGCGAAGACATTTTTGAAGACTACGAGATTTCTGCTTTCTTATGTGTTTTACCGTTGTCTGGAAGAATCGTCCTCAGAAAATTAGGTCCCGAAGAACTTTAATTTCAAACCTTTCATAGGGATGCATTCAACTGTTCTTTATTCCTCAAGGAAAACACCGTAATTTGCCTAAAACTGTCTCTCTGTGCATAATAATCGAATCTAATGCGGTCTGCACAAGCAATTCTTGCCCTCGGATACGCCACGCACGCGCCTGTGGCTGGCAGTCCTCGAAATTGCGACCCCCTTCCGACCAAAATGCGACCCCTTCGTTCGAACAGTTCGAACGGACGGTTGACCCTGCTCCAGGTGGCAAATAGGGTTGAATCGCAGACGCAGGTGGATTTAGGGGATGGACTCCCTGTTTCTGTAGTGCTGTGTGATTCATACCAGCTGTCTCCACTCACAAGGGAATGCTTTGGACTTCCCATGGAACTTTGAAAGAGACCTAGGTATATCGATAGAGTCTTGAACGCTGATTGCAAATAGGGACACTATAACTGCTACGTGAACTTTCTTTGAAAGTTATGAGCCTTCAAAGTTGGCAAGAAGCGGACGCCATTTCATCAGGA